AAAATGCTATTCCAACCTTATATAATATGTTTCGCTATATAAAATACAATTGCAAAGTAAGGCTAATATTTTAGGACTTTTGGACGTTAATGAGTTAATATGATTGGTCGAAACATTTCTCCCATCCGATTCCCCATTTCTCCCAATTCCCACTTAGAAGAATGGAAAAGTATACAAAGACGACCACAAACCAGGGAGACTAAATATCAAAACTCCTAGCCCTGATGATGTAAGCTGCAATGTTTGCGAAACGTCGGTACAAAGCTGAATTACAATATGTTCATCCGTAAGAAACATACCCTGATTGTCTAAACTCTTATTCTCATTTGTTGCATCTTTTGGTCTTCCAGTACATGGACGATCTCTCACATTTCCTATATCTTCAAACCGTGTTACTGTTTTTTGAACAATGGATTTTGAAACGGGTTTCGATCAGGAAACGTTTCATTAAATAGATTAGCCATTTCTTCATATGACCTCATTCATACCCTCAGTCACCATACTCTCGCATCATAAGCAATGTAATTCGTTCTCGTTCACTTAAAGCTGGATACAGACTTGAGCACGAACGCACATGAGGCAAGCTGAGGCTACACCGAATGCCTCGGATTGAAAATTGAAGTCCCCGCATGAGAACGCATGAGAGGCAAGTCGAGACAACTGTTCGGCGTTGCTCCGGTCGTTCGGAGTTAGCAGTTCTGTTCTTAATTTTTCGTGTCGTGCGCGGCTATCTTCCGTACGCGTGCTCGAGTGCGTCCAAACTGAGCACGAATTATCTTTGATGAACCGACAGCACTCGGCTCGGTCCGAGCCCGTGCGGCGAATCGTCCGAGGCAATCTGCCGCGCCTCGGACCAACGTCCACACTTGCATGCTCATGCGGCCTCAGCTTGCCTCATGTGCGTTCGTGCTCAAGTCTGTATCCAGCTTTACATGATCAACAAGAAGACCGATTGTTAAGATTTCACGAATCTTTTAAAAGAAATAAAGATTATTTAATACTGTATATTGTTACACGGAAATATAATTTTTGTGAGAATTTGCAACTACTGACAAAACGTTTAAGGAAGGAGGAGGTTTGTCACGATATGTAATGTAATTCATACAATCGATACGCTAAGCTCAATTGAGACTACTCAAAATAACAGATAAGATATTTTGCTATTAGCACAGCTCGCATTTCGATGCTTCCCTCACTCCAGACTCCGGGGTAGGTTTCGATGAGGTCCGCCCCTCAACACATACGCACCACATACACACACACACACAATACACATAATAGAGATGTAAATCAGACCGTGCAACCTCTACGCTTTGGGTAATGCTAATGCCTGTGGTACTGTAACATTCAAGCCTCATAACTCGGAAAGTACTTCGTGAAAAATAACTTAAATATAGTGTTTTGGAAAGCTTTCGAAATAAGCTCTAAGAGCATGTAATCAAAAATGAAGATTTCCAATTAAAATTTTCAAAGTGAACAGAGTTTTTATGTAACCTTGACAACACTCTTCAAAGTCATAATAATATTACTATGTAATGCGTTACTTAAAACACTATAACTTTTGTCTGAAACATTTTCCTACAGAACCGCTACTTTTAGAGATAATTAGACATTTCCAAACTTTTAAACCACTCTGTATACACAGGGTGAGAAAAAATGTCAGGATCCCGAAATATATCGAAAAATATAATTTTTATAAAAAAATATTTCAGACAAAAGTTGCAGAGTTACAAGTAACGCATTACGTAGTGTTCGGGGTCATAGCGTGCACAAAGGTTTTCTGGAAGAATCTAAATATTCTTCTAGCTTCGACCTCACGAAGCTTACGCGTGATCCATGCGTGCTCGGCTAGCGGAGATCTCGTCGCCGAACGTTGGGCCACGGGATCCCCGGCGAGGAACGATCAAAACAATGTTTATTCTCGCGTATTCGCCGTGTATGTCGGGCAGACCCCGAGCATGCGATCACGGCGTGTTACGGCCAACAAATTACAGCCAATCCTTATCTGCCAGCTCGAGCTGAAAAAGGGATATAATTGAGACCATAATTCCATCTCGCTCTCTGCGCTTTTGAGCTTTCTACCGAGCGGTCTTTTATTTCCGATTGCAACAGGCGAGCGCGATCTTCGCTGAATTTTCGGTACACACTATCGGTGTTATTGCTTCATCGTGGCTGCATTCGTTGCACTCGGTTACGATTTCGTGAAGTAACTCTCTGGTCTGCGCGCCTGGGCCGCACGTCACTCTCCGACGCTCGATCGTACCCACCGATACATCGAGCACTCAACGCGTTTAACGTGCATTACTTTGCGTGGCTTGCATTACGATTGCATTGTACGATTTATAATCATATCCATTTTACGTGCACCGTCGGCGAGCGTCGCGTCCGCGAGCGCCGCTTGTTGCGAGACACCTTACGTCCGCCGGTCTACAGCGGCGCAACGCGCCTGCAGCAGTTCCTAGGTCGACTGCGTAGCGCTCTAGCTTGAGCGGCTGAATGCCCCTCCCATAACGTCTTGGCGCGCGCTCATTCTCCAGATTTCTGTCATTAATAACTCTATAATTATTGCGAATTTCACAAAACGGTATAGGAATTTTATATTTGTTTTAACCCGTTCTATGTCTTCACGAGCTCTGCAAAATTAGTTATGAGACGCCCTGTATATATGATTTGCAGTTCAAAACAGGAATTCATAAAAATGACCCGTTATTATATGAATATTAGGTTTTTATATGTAAAAACCTAATATTTATATGTAAATGTTTATATCAGGTATAGTAAAAAGAAATCCATTATTTTTCCAATAGATGGCTTTAGTTATCTGTATCTCGCGTTGTATAAGTCCGATCGGGTTCTACTAGATGGCGTTAGAAAGATGAGATTTCGTACTAAAAAAACTTTGTTGACAGTTTTGTGATTAGTTGACTCAGTTTTGTTTGAGCACGCGTCAAAGATGGACACTAGTAAAGAGAAAATACTCTATATTTTACAGTTTTTCTTCGATAAAGGCGAAAACGCAAGCCAGGCGGCTGAAAATGTGAATAGTGTTTATGGTCCTGATACTGTAACAGTCAATCACGCGCAATTTTGGTTTCGTCGATTCCGTTCCGGTAATTTCGATGTCAAAGATGCACCACGCACTGGAAGGCCAATTGTCGAAAATATCGATAAAATCATGGACATTGTCGAGTCCGACCATCATGTAAGCACTGTTTCGATTGCCCAAGAGCTAAAGATTGCACAATAAACCGTTTGGAACCATTTGAATAAGGCTGGATACAAAAAGAAGCTCGATGTATGAGTGCCACACGAGTTAACGCAAAAAAACCTCATGGGCCGAATTTCCATCTGCGAATCGCTGCTGAATCGCAACAAAATCGACCCATTTCTGAAGCGGTTGGTCACTGGTGATGAAAAGTGGATCACTTACGACAACGTCAAGCGAAAACGGTCGTGGTCGAATCGCGGTGAGCCGGCGGAAACGGTGGCCAAGCCAGGATTGACGGCCAGGAAGGTTTTACTGTGTGTTTGGTGGGGTTGTCAGGGAATTATTTACTATGAGCTGCTCCCCTACGGCAAAACTCTTAACTCGGAACTGTAGTGTCAACAATTGGACCGTCTAAAGGAAGCAATCGCCCAGAAGCGGCCAGCTTTGGCCAATAGGAGAGGAATTGTGTTCCATCAGGACAACACCAGGCCACACACATCGATAGTGACTCGCCAGAAGCTTCGGGAGCTTGGTTGGGAGGTTCTTATGCATCCACCTTATAGTCCGGACCTGGTACCAAGTGATTACCATCTGTTCCTGTCCATGGCGAACAATTTTGCTGGTGAAAAATTCGCTTCGAAAATTCGAAAGGAGAGGCTTGTGAAAATCGACTGTCTCAATTTTTTGCCAATAGGGACGAGGGCTTCTATGAGAGAGGCATAATGAAATTACCTTCAAAATGGTAATAAGTTATCGAATAAAACGGCGCATATTTGACCTAAATCGGATCATTCTAACTGTGGTAATTAAAGCCTTCAATTTCATGCAAAAATAATGGATTTCTTTTTACTACACCTAATATGTAAATGTAAATGTTTATATGTAAAAAACATAAATTACATGGCGTCTGTTCGTGAACGTCCTTGCAGACGGTTAGCACACGTAGATTGCCGGGACCGCTCAGCAATGAACGCGGAGGCGCGCTTGTTGTTACGGTAGCCGCAACGAGAACTTGTGATGGTGGTCAGAACTCGTATACTTCCGGAATCACTTTTTTATTCGTCGTTGCAACGACGGTACATTCCACCGCAAGGACAAACTCAATAACAAAAAACTCAAAGAAAATTGATTGATGAAGGCGATTGCACTACGGCGGTAATCAACCGAGCGCGCGATAACAGCGGAAATCGTAATGACTTTTGTCGCGAGCTGAGAACGTTGACTGCCGGTGCTGTTTGAATGCGAGAACGGAATCAAATCATTGGCCGTGTTCACGCAACTTTATCGATTCTACTTCTGATCTGGCGAATGCGGATTAGCCGTGCATTGATTAGCTGCTCGATTCGTGGTCGCAAAGCTAACCGTCAGCTACCTTCGTTGCGAGTTTGCGATTGCCGATGTTTTCGCGGGACAACAAACTTAGAATCACGGTTGTTTTGAACGATGATTTAAACGGCGGCAGATGCGGACCAGATGCGGACCGATTCTATCATGCGCCACGCGTGATGTTTACACGCGAGGAAGTCGCTGGTCGCTTCCTCGCTCAAAATCCAAATTGACGCTCGCTTTAACGCCGTGGCTCACGGTGATTCCCGAATAGCGTCTAAGTTTAATATTTTTAGACGTTATTTTAGATTAGACGTCCACGACGTCTAATAGAGATCTCTCCAATCTCGCGTTTCTCCCTGGGTAGAAAAAATTACAGAGTTCTTAACTTTGATAAAATTTAATAAAATTTACTGAAGATATACAGTGCGTATATTTTTAGTAACAATATTAATTTTAATTGCAGTTACTCAAGACATCATATTCCGCTTACAATATACTACAACAAATATAGATGTCAAGATGATATAGAGATGATGTAGAAAGAAAAATTGATTACATCTTTTAATGATATGCATACATGCGTATGTATATATATATATATATGTAATTAATATTATCCATGCCTACATAACATAACATTTAGCATATAAATATTAAAGAATTATAATTGAATAATTTATGTATGTCTGATATTTCTCTCACATTGCTAACTAAAATCTTTATAAATAAAAAAAGTTAAATAAAAAGTTTGTATGTTGTTTATTTACTATTAAGAGGTTGCATTGAAAGCCGCTGTTTTTTTGTGTTCGAACATTTATTTCAATAATAAAATATGTGAATTCATTAATCAAATTATTTACCCTCGGAATCTATGACTTTTTCCTGGCAGAAGTTGAATTCCGCGACGAAAGAATGATCTGTCTATTGAGCCAATCCATTCAACAACTCAATTTTCGACTTCTCCATAATTATGGAAATGTGTATCTTCCAAAGCGTGTTTCATCGATCAGAACAGATGGTAATTGGAGCCAGATCCAGAGAATAGGCTGGGTACGGAAGAATTTTCTATTTGAGTTCCATCAGTGTTTGTTTCACGACTATAGCAATATGGGGCCGGGTGTTGTCATGGAGCGAAATCACTTTTCGGCGATTTGGTGCAATTGATGGCCGTTTTTGTATCAAATTAAAATACTCCATTTAAATATTCCAATTGTTATCGATAACGTTCGATGACTATTTCGTTCGTTTTCAACAGTTTATAATATACGACACCCTCCATATCTCACTAATAGAGAGCATTGCTTTGTGACTGTGGATGTTTCGCTTTAGTATTGACGTTAATGGTTGGCCAGGATCAACCCATAATTTCTTGCATTTTGAGTTGTTGAAATATTAGGTTGGTAGGAAAATAATGTCGGCTTTATATATTATTTGACTTTCCTACTTGTTTTTGGAATAAATATTTCTTTTAATATATTATGTGTGTATTAATATACCATTTTAAAACGCAGATTTCACTCTACATTTCATTACTGTTGGTTTCATTTTTACTATTATTTTGTGTTCATTATTATATATAGAATTCATGATGGAAAAGAAGCAATTGCAAGCGATATTCTTGTACGAGTGCAAACTCGTAAGCTTTTTTTTTGTTAACGGGGGGAAATCCTCATGGATATCCCGCCCCCGTTGGGGGGAAGGTGGGGTTATACCTCTCCGAACTCTTACCGGCTAAAACCCCTCCGGGGTGCTTACCAGGCGAGCCGGAGTGGGGGAGTCGGGGAAACTACGCTGTACATTTCCTCCCCGACACCCCGTTCCTGGGGTTGTCACAGAGCCCCTCGCTCAAGTGCCGCGCCCTTCCCTTGGAAGGGGCGCGGCGTCCCGATTGAGTAAACTTGCTCGATCGGGTTAGCTATCCTGGTCTACTAGCAGGAGAGAGGGCACACCTTCCCTTTCTCCTAGCCTCTCTCGATATCGAGGTGGGCGGAGAGTGGGGCTCATCCCTAACCGGTACTCCTTTTCCTCCCTTACCATCGCGCGGGAAGGAAATAGGTTCTAGACCTATCGCCCGCCCCCCCTTCTTCGCGGACGATGGCGAGCCCGAGATAGTCGAGGGAGCCCCCAAGGTATCGGCTCCTTGACCGGCGCCACCTCGGGCTCGCGGTCAAACTCGTAGGCTATGCCAAACTCATATACTATGCCATAAAGCAGCAAAACGACTCATAACGTCAACAGTTCGGTCAGGAAACTGCAAACGAATGCACGATGCAACGTTGATTTCAAAAATTTCGGAATGAAGATGAGAGATTTGAAGATCAAGAAAGTCGTGAATGTCCATCGGCAGTTGATAACGATGAATTGAAAGTGTTGATCGAGACAAATCCGTGTACAACGATTCGAGAGCTTGCTGTAAAGTTAAACATAAGTCATCTAACAGGTTCTAGATCATCTCAAGCAACTTAGAAAATCAAAAAGCTCAACAAATGAGTGCCGCATGAATTGAATGAAAATAAAAAAAGTCATTATGAAGTGTGCTCTGCGCATGTTTTGCGCAATAACAACGATCCATTCCTCAATTGCATTGTGACATGAGATGAAAAATGGATTCTATACGACAACCAGCAGCGCTCAGCATAGTAGTTCTCCGCGGTGATGCTCCACAATACTTCCCAAAGCCGAAACTGCACCAAAGGAAGACTATGGTTTGGTGGTCGTCAACCGGTCTAATTCATTATAACTTCCTGAATCCAGGCGAAACTATCCGGTGTAGTAAAAAGAAATCCATTATTTTTCCAATAGATGGCTTTAGTTATCTGTATCTCGCGTTGTATAAGTCCGATCGGGTTCCACTAGATGGCGTTAGAAAGATGAGATTTCGTACTAAAAAAACTTTTCTGACAGTTTTGTGATTAGTTGACTCAGTTTTGTTTGAGCACGCGTCAAAGATGGACACTAGTAAAGAGAAAATACTCTGTATTTTACAGTTTTTCTTCGATAAAGGCGAAAACGCAAGCCAGGCGGCTGAAAATGTGAATAGTGTTTATGGTCCTGATACTGTAACAGTCAATCACGCGCAATTTTGGTTTCGTCGATTCCGTTCCGGTAATTTCGATGTCAAAGATGCACCACGCACTGGAAGGCCAATTGTCGAAAATATCAATAAAATCATGGACATTGTCGAGTCCGACCGTCATGTAAGCACTGTTTCGATTGCCCAAGAGCTAAAGATTGCACAAAAAACCGTTTGGAACCATTTGAATAAGGCTGGATACAAAAAGAAGCTCGATGTACGGGTGCCACACGAGTTAACGCAAAAAAACCTCATGGACCGAATTTCCATCTGCGAATCGCTGCTGAATCGCAACAAAATCGACCCATTTCTGAAGCGGTTGGTCACTGGTGATGAAAAGTGGATCACTTACGACAACGTCAAGCGAAAACGGTCGTGGTCGAATCGCGGTGAGCCGGCGGAAACGGTGGCCAAGCCAGGATTGACGGCCAGGAAGGTTTTGCTGTGTGTTTGGTGGAATTGGCAGGGAATTATTTACTATGAGCTGCTCCCCTACGGCAAAACTCTTAACTCGGAACTGTACTGTCAACAATTGGACCGTCTGAAGGAAGCAATCGCCCAGAAGCGGCCAGCTTTGGCCAATAGGAGAGGAATTGTGTTCCATCAGGACAACGCCAGGCTACACACATCGATAGTGACTCGCCAGAAGCTTCGGGAGCTTGGTTGGGAGGTTCTTGTGCATCCACCTTATAGTCCGGACCTGGTACCAAGTGATTACCATCTGTTCCTGTCCATGGCGAACAATTTTGCTGGTGAAAAATTCGCTTCAAGAGAGGCTTGTGAAAATCGACTGTCTCAATTTTTTGCCAATAGAGACGAGGGCTTCTATGAGAGAGGCATAATGAAATTACCTTCAAAATGGCAACAAGTTATCGAACAAAACGGCGCATATTTGACCTAAATCGGATCATTCTAACTATGGTAATTAAAGCCTTCAATTTCATGCAAAAATAATGGATTTCTTTTTACTACACCTAATATTACGGCAGAGAAGTATTATCAAGAAATTGACGAAATGCATCACAAACTACAACGCCTGCGCCTGGCATTGATCAATAATAAAAGTTCCATTCTTTTTCACGATAATGCCCGGTCACATATCGCACAACCGACGCTGCAAGAACTGAATGAATTAGGCTACGAAACTTTAGCTCACCCACCATATTCGCCAGACCTCTCGCAAACCGACTACCACTTTTTTAAGCACCTCGACTACTTCCTGCAAGAGAAAGTCTTCAACAACTATGCTTGAAAATGCCTTCCGAAAATTTATCGATTCCAAGACGTTGGAATTCTACGTTATTGGAATAAATAAACTTGTTTCTCATTGGCAAAAATGTGTTGATTGTAATGGTTCTTACAGTCTGTAAAGTAAGAGCGTGTACGGGTTAATGTGTAGAAAAATTTATTTTTAATAATTTTTAAGTACATGGATTTGTTGTACTCCATGAGAAGAAAAACGCTATACCATTAATAATGAGTCTAGTCACCACCGGCATTGATAATTGCCTGGCATCTCCGAGGCATACTTTCCACTAAGTTGACTGCGTATTCGTTCGGTAAAGACCTCCAAATGAGACGAATTTGTCGTGTCAGCTGCTTCAAAGTGCACACTCTTTTTCCTCGAAGCTTGTGCTTGAGATATGCCTCACAATACGGCTAAAAAAAACTAGGACGATATTTGAAGCCATTTATGCCGTACATGTTCTTACTTTACAGACTATATCTCAATTAATACACTACTCTAAATTGAGATATGTGTTTAAAGTTAAAAGCTAAAAACCGATATTATTTTCCTACCAACTTAATAGATCTATTTTTCATCGCCGGTCGCGATACGCCACAAGAAACTCTTCTTTTTATGCTTTGCAAGCAAAGAAATCGACATATTTAAACAATGATATACAGTGGCGTGCAAAAGTTTCGAGCCACAGTATATTTTTAAGATACATGACAATATATTGATTTGCTCTAAAAATTAATTATATAAAATAGTTGACATAACATTCTTACAAATAATAGTACAGTTACAAAATTTTGAAATTACATAGTTTCTAAGTATTTAGTCATATAATATTTACATGTGTTCAAAAATATTGAGCCGTATTCTTGTTGTGACTTTATGAGCCCGGTTTGTTTACGTTTCTTATGAAACTCCTTCGTAAATATTTACTTTAACTAAATTTCAGTCTATTGTCTACCGCAATGTCGAAACATATAAGCCTTCAGTTACGCAAAGCCGTGATTAATATTTCTCAACAAGGAAAGGTTTCTTGCGAAATTGCTAATTGCTTATTAATTGATAAAAGTACTGTAAATAGGATTATTGCTAAATATAAGACGAACTCTCTAACTGATAAACCACGAAACGGTAGACTTTGCAAAACTACAAAGCGCGTCGATAAAATAATTAAGAAACAGTCGATAGCAGATGTTAG